ACTCACTCACTCACTCACTCACACACACTCACACACACACACACACACACACACACACACGTAGGTCAGATTTTTTGGCAAACAAATTTACTGAGTCATCAGAGGGTCTGGTGACAATCAGCACGATCTGACTTCCCCTTTAAGCCAGATAATTTAGTTCACAGCCAGCATACAACACACACTAATAGATGCACACACACACACACACACACAAATGCATGTGCAATGCAATGGAAGCACTTCTGATTTTAACCTCAGAAATCAAATATACACACAAATCCAACACAATGACGTGTAGCATTGATAACACACAGTCAAATGCTGTACACTAGCCCACACTGAAAATATGAATATAACACACAGACTTGCTGCAAAATACAACAAACTGCATGCTTCATTTCTTGCTCATCAATTTTGCATATTTACCTCCAAGCTTTTACACTTGCAACATGACCCATTTCCACACTGACACATGGGTGAAGGGATTTAAACAAACTCTGCCATTTTCACTGTATTTCGCTTCTTAGGGTTTTGCAGTCATGACCTAACAACATGTCAGCCAAGTTTTTATTTCAGAGTTCAGTTGAAACGCAAAATAACAGGATTAAAAATTAAATCTAATTTTAATCTTACTAACCTCAGTTGGTTTGGCTATAGATTCTCAATAAATACCCTGAGCAGCATATAAATATTAATTCTGTGCTTTCGTGACTGGCCGTAAAGAGAGGAGAGATGCCCCTCAGTGCTCTAAGAGCCCTTTAGAGCGTGTTTTCTTTTGTGTTAATGCACGTAAAAGCTAATGCTTGTCCAAGAAAACGAAAGACAGCATTTTACTACCACCAGACCTCAGCAAGAGAGCCCGGGGTGCTTTTTTCATTGCACAGAAAATGCCTTGACCTGAAAAAACAAAAGTGTGTGATATTTAACTCGAGCAGTTCAATAGAGTTTCCCTGGAGAATGGTGGCTGCGAGCGGACCTCATGTGCACTGTTCAGAGCAGTCACGACAGGCACACATCACACACACTGACGTAGATACAGTATGACCGATCTACTCTACTGCACCAGATCACTTCACCCTTTTAGCTCTCTGTTTTTGTTTGTTTGAAATCATCTCTGATCAAACAATCTGAAACTAAATGACACATACTGTCAGTTTACACACATACCCAAATACACACACACAAAAAAATGAAAGACCCACTTCAATTGAAATCATATTAAATATATCAAATTATTTGATTCATTTGAACTACACACTGTCTTATTAGGGACATAGCACAGACATTTATGATTTTTTGCTGTTATGTAATAATTCTGTGTAATATTTATAAACAAACTCTAACCTTCAGAAAACCTTTTGCATTTTTAGATAAAAAACCTAAACAAAACAAAATCAAAACAACTGCAAAAGAAAATGAAACAAAAAAACAAAACAAAAAAAAAAAACCCCAAAAAAAGCACAAAACCAAACCAAAACAAAACCTTGTCCTTCTGAGGTCAGATTTAGCTAAAATTTTCATCAACCTTGTCTCCAAATAATAGCCAAATTAGAAAGATGCACAAATATGTAATATTTCATATTCATTACAACAAATCAGCAAGTTTGTCTAAACAGGTTTATAAAACGGACAATGGAGATTAATCTCCAAGATTTCCATGCAGCTGCTGGACCCAACAAAAAAAAAAAAGTTTCATCTAAATTAGGTGATGTCAGGTGAGGGACGTGCAAATGACAACACTTCCAGGCTCCATCTAACAATATTTATGCACACAAATCCAAACATCAGACACAACAATGCCATCTAAACCTGGAAAAGGGTATTGGGTTTTGTTTAAACTCGTGTAAGCAGACAGACTGCTTTGTTTACATGAACACATGTGTTTATTTATGTGTGTGTGGGTTTATAGCAACACTTTGAGGAAACATTGCTGTGAAAATGTCCACAGAAGTTAGCCAAGTCTAACAAAATCATTCTTTCGATTGTCATCGAAAAGAAAAATAGTTCAAAAGTCAGTTTTATATATATATATATATATATATATAAAAAAATCAGTCGAGTTGAGTTTCTATTATTGCTGGTCTTTAGTAATTATAGTTAGATTTATTAAAACAACAACAATGTCTAAGGTTTATTTAGATAGCTAGGTAAATATACGCTTTTGTGAATGCTCGTACACATGCATGTTTGTATATGAGAGGCGCATGCAGTCATGCATTAACTGAGGATGTTTTTTTTTTAATTGCATATGCTGAGCATGGGCTCTTGGATGGCGCAGCAAGGAGAGTTTGCGTGTTTGGCCGGCAGCCAGTTCACAGCCCAGCTGGATATCACTGAACTGCTCTTGCAACCTCCCTACAGCCCAGCGTGTCACTTCGGTATTGTTTCCGTGGTACAAAGTTTGTTCAACCTCTCTCTCTCTCTATACTGGTTAGGGCTGCTCTGATTTCATCAGTGTGCCACACAGGTTATTGCTCTGACAGCGGCGCAATCCCTAATGAACAGCTTGATATTGGGGAAGGAATGTTTTATTGACCAAAACAGTTTTTAGTCTCAATTAATTCTGCTGTCAAAACAAATGAAGGGCAACCAAAAGCCTGAACCTCCAGTCTAGACCCCTGTGGATACATAGTTTAACTGGGCTACCTGTGTATGGAATATTATATATACACACACTTATACATACAGTACATACGTACATTAGTACAATTTGGATATTTTGGGTTAGTTTTTCTTTATTAAATTAATTTTATTCGGCAGAGACAAATTAAGTTGGTAAATTAAGTTAAAAAATGACAGTTAGAAAATACTTTTCTTTCAAATAACTGTTTTTGAACGTTTTTTTATTATTATTTTATTATTAAAAATATTAAGCAGAACAACTATTAACATTGATGATAAGATTTCTTGAGCACCAAATCAGCATATTAGAAAGATTTCTGAAGGATAATGTGACACAAAGGCATTCAGCAAATAAATTAAGAATAAATATTCAAGAATAAACGACATACATTAATAAATGACATAAAATATATTAAATTGAAAAACTGAAAACAGTTCTTTTAAATTAAAAAACCTTAAATGCTAATGTGTTAATTATATTAACTGTGTTGTATTCTAAGTAGTGCTGTCAAACGATTAATCGCGATTAATCACATCCAAAATAAAAGTTTTTGTTTACATAATATGTGTGTGTACTGTGTATATTTATTATGTATACATAAAGACACACACCTACAGCATATATTTTGAAAAATATTTACATGTATATATTTATATTCATAAAATGTATATTATATAAAAATATTTAATATATAAACGTAACATATTTTTCTTAAATATATACATGCATGTGTGTGTATTTATATATACATAATAAATATACACAGTACATACACATATACCATGTAAACAAAAACTTTTATTTTGGATGCGATTAATCACGATTAATCGTTTGACAGCACTAATTATAAGTAACTATGTAATAATTTTTTGTTATTGATAATACAATATAATATATATAATAGAGAGTTGTGAGAAAACTATATTATAGCTTAAGTGTGTAATTAATTTCTGTTTTCCATTAGCGTCACAAACAAGAAAAAATTTTTGTTTTCAAAACATAAAAACAAAACAAGATAGTCCCACCTCAAACTCATGCCATTGGCTAAGCTGATGTCAAGGTGTCAGGATGTTCAAAAAACACAGCAAATGTTTTGAAACGTCCCTAAGAGAGGTCAAATATTCTAAGAAGCCATACAGCTTTCAAGCCAAGAAAAAGGCAAAATCCAGTGTCTAGTGTACAACATTTTATAGTGTTAATATAATTGCTGGCTACACTGGTTTAATTACGCCCCACACCCCTTTAGCTTCAAGCAAAATTATATTCTCTATGTGAAATGTGAAAAAACTTCCACCCTGTGAAAGGAGGGAGAATCAGGAGGTTAAACGAAAGATCACGGAGGAATAAGTGAGGAAAAATAGCAAGAGCACAGGGGGAAGTGTAGCCGTGTCAAGCTCTATCAATTTCTAGTAGCTTAATCTTATGTAAAGGTGGGCAAGCTTGACATTCCACTTAGCATGTGACGCTAGCGTTAGCATGTGACGGCCAGTGCTTGCTGAGACCAGGGCTGAAAACCCCTGTAAGGGTCAGAGCTCCACAAATCCTCCAAAGTAAACTCCACCGTGCTACTGCAGTCAAGTCAAACATACTCCATTTGTGGGCTTACAGTGCAGACTAACGCTCATTTTCATCATTAAGTCAGTTGGTTATGAACTCATGACCAGTCTTGTTAATAATATCAAGAGCAAAGTATTTCAGTGCCAGAGGTTAATGCCGTGTGTGAGAGATTTAGCTGTGTTACCTGGTCTCTCTTTGCCTGTTCCTTTGCTTTCTGCCAGTTTCTGTATGAGGCTCTCAACGGAAGTGTTCTCCATGTTTTTCACAAACTCTTCTTGGACCTTACAAAAAACATTACATGCACTCATTCAGTATGTTCATGCGACAACACAGCAGAGAGTATATAATAAAAGTACATTTGTATGTTAATGCAGCAGACATATAATGGGCATTAAAAGATGAAAATCATCAATTATCTGTTTTGGTTCCATAAAAACATATTTTAGATTTATTTGGTTTATGTTATGTTACCCTTTAAAGTACCATATGACACATTTGGTTTAGTTAAAATTAACATGTTAAAAAGTAACATGTTTATTCATAAATTTTATGATAAATTAACTTAATTTAGAAAAATGTACTAATACATGTAAAGTTAACATTAAACTATGTTAACAAATCAAACCTTATATTTCAACAAAACAAAGATTGACATCAGTAGGAAGATTAAAAGGGTTTCTACCACAGACTGTATGTATGAATATTCCTTGTCCAATTGTACCAAAGGGGCCCAGTAAGCTCTTAAAAAGCCAGGAAAGACTAAGTGACACTGACTGTACAACTGTACCAAGACTTTGTTCAGAACTGGCAGCATTTGGGTCTGAACTCACTTGACCGGGTAAAATAGGTCACAGACTGCTCACTCTTCAGAGCAGACTTTATGTCATTTGATAGTATGGTCATAACATGAAGGGAATGCTAAATAATGAGATATTTATGTTGCACATCATACGTGCAAGCTCCAAAGATTTTAAATGTGAACATCTTTCTGACACACACTCCTACGTCATCGACTGCTGTGCTCCTATTCTTCAATGCACAGCAGTTGTAGCAGTGTGTGAAAAAATACATATACACAAATACAGTACCATTCAAAAGTTCCAGAAGATTCAGTAAGAATTTTTTGGATATAAATGAATTATTTTACTCAGTAGGAATGCATTAATTCATGATCAAAAGTGACACTGAATTAAAATCTGGTCATATGGTCATCGGCGCTACATTATGTGTTATGATCACTGCCTTCACTCTTTTCACCACATTACCAGCACTAGAGCTGTATCCCATGCAAGCAAGATTGAGGTTTTGGAAAAGGATAGGGTTGAGAGCTAGGGCACGCAATGAGGATGTGACTAGTGACATTATTTCCCCGGGTGATCACTTTGACTGTCTTTGTTTTTACAGGCCTCAAGGGATGGTGACAAATGCAATATGTCTGCCACACATCTCCACTGCTGACGCAATGCTTAGCTTTCATAGCTGATGTGTATTTACACAGCACTTCATAAAGTGTTTGTCAGTTTGATTCAGTATCCATGTCCTTTTTGCCTGTTTGTGGACCAGAGGAGCTGATTGACATGTAAAGCTGTGTAAAAAAATCTTCAATAAAAATTTTTGAAGCCATGACCCAAACCAACCAGCTCTGAAACAGGGTTATAATAGTTTACAACTAAAACCATAAAAAAAAAACATATTTATTATATGGTTATATATAATATAAATATTTATTAAAGTAAATGTTAACTGAAATTAAATGTACTATTTTCATTTAGTTTAACTTGATGTACTAAAATAACGAAAACTGAAAAAAAAAAAAAAAAACTTAATAGACATTTAAAAAAACAAATAACTAACACTTTAAAACTAAAATAATGGAAAATATAAAAAATTAAAACATTCAAAATATTAATAAAATCTACAATGGATGATTTACTTCACTAAAAAAAGAAAAGTGTAAGTGTCCCAACGTCTTTTATGAGGTAAAAACAATCCTAGACTAAATTATGTAACTGAAAAAATTAATAAATAAATTGGTATGTATACACACACACACACACACAACAATTCCATGTATAAAACAAATCTTAAAAATCTTATAATGTTTTAACAATCTAACTTAATTTATTGCAAAATATTCAGATATTCAGCATACAAATATGTAAGTAACTTAAGAGTGTAGTGAAGGTGCTTCATGGGAGAGGGTAGTGGGTCCAAGGGTTGTGTAGTACTTTACTGGGGATTTGGCAACTAAACACTTTTTTTATGATCTTGAAATCACTGCCCATTAACCACACAGATGCATATACCATCACTTAACTGTCCCATAGCTTGTCTTTCTTGAAAGACAACTTGAATTTGGCCTAATCTCTTCTTTCAAAGATGCATGCCATTATTCCATTTTTCTTGCTCTGCCATTCCACTTCTAGATCCCGTTGTTACATCAAGATCTCAAAACTAATGTCATGTATAGACGAACAGTGACACCAACTGTTGCATGAGCAAATGCTGCACTTGAAAGTAGATTCAACTCATATGTATGCAACAGAAACAGTATAAACATAATAACCACATAAAAACTCAAATCTTATTTCTCCATGGGCTCAAAGCTGAACACAAGGGTGTGTGTGGTTAGGAGGAAGCCCAAACCAGAGCATGCAACAGTTCTGTGGTCAATAACCAGTAAAATGCCAAACAGAGACGGTTTTGCTGTGGGTGTGTAGAAATGCACATTCAGTTGCCTTCACGGAAATGTATTTCAGTGAATAAAAGGGTTTGCATATGTTATAAATCACTCTGAATTAGCGGCAATTGGTTTGCCGATTGATAAGGAAGGACTAATTGGACAGCCTCGTGTTATGAAGTTCATTTCTGCTTATTTGACTTATGCACATTTAAGGGTCTCTGGCGCCCTCTACAGCTAAGCGATGATACAACAGCCAGGTCTCATAGACTTAATTCAGTTTCCAGACCTTTTCAGCATTGAATTTAATCACTATTTCAGTTGTTTTGAGATTACTGGATAAGGACTGTGTGTGTGTGTATGATTGTGTGTGTATTTCTCTGCTTACCTCTCCTATCTGTATGTGTGTCTCTTCAACAGACTGACAGTATGAATGGATAATCTCCTGCATACGCAGTACATGTTCCTCTTCAATGCCCTGGAATTTCTGTAGACACAAACACACAACCTTTAATTGACTTATCTTTCTGAAATGGTGCAAAAGCAGTTTAAAAATGGATAATACTAGTTTTAGTCAGTCTCGAAAAGTGAAGCTGAAAGCAGATGTTGGTAATGATACTTAATCAGACAGAATCTTTTTCCACAACAATCCTGTGTCTGTGTGCCTCTACATAAGACCCATTCTTATATTGTTGGCATAAGTCTACGGTTAGCCGATTTGGGTGGTCTGACTAGCTAAGAAGCACGTAACATGCACAAACACAGTGAAAATAAATATGCATGTGTGTATGTGGGATGTGTGTGTGTCAAGGATGGCTGCATGCCTGATTTGCTGTTTATGCTCCTCTCAGACTGACAGTAGGGTTTTAGAAGATTTAAGTGGAAGAGGAGAAAAAGATGAGGAAATGAGCGGAAACAAGATAATGACAGTATAAGTCAGAGCATGTGTGACCACAGGGGAAAAAACGTGTTTGTGCATGTGTGTGTGGATCATGTAAAGAAACATCAATGAAAAGCTTAAACTTTTGTATGTTTGAGGACTCCGTGGCTCTGATTTGGGACTGAAAAATAAGTGTGCGGGATGGGTAAGAGTGTTTCCTGCACAAAGCTACTGAATTTAAAACCCCAAAGGCAAAAGACACTATATTTAGAAATTATATATTAAGTTGTGAGCTTACAGTCTTCAGTGTGATGAGATAAAAAAACAAAGATAATGTACCACAAAATAATGCAGAGATGAACAAAAAAGTAATAAAAAAAAATGGAAAAATAAATAAACAAAAAATCATGAAGCATTAATAAAAATACAAATGTTACCAATTTAAAAGAGTGTATCCAGCCCATGGGTTGTGTATATATTTTATATATAAATAATTATTATATTTAATGTGTCATATTAATTTAGTGTGTCTGATATTAATATTGTTAATACATATCAAGCTCTAATTGATACGATAAAAGCTCTAATAACTCAACAACATACAAATACGCATCACACACACACACACACACACCCTGCAGCGACAATTAGCCACCTCAACAAACACACTCATGCACACTTCACACAGTCGTACCTGTGCAGTTTCTGTCATTCTTTGCTCAAATTCTGTCTTTGCATTGGCATATTTCTCCACATATGACTTGTAGGTCTCTGTGGCTTTCTTGACCTTCAGTCCAGCCTGCAAACAAACAACACAAAACAGCCAGAGAGAAATTTACATATGAAGAGTTCCAATGCAAAAGCCTCTAAAAGCCATCTTGGTCAAAAATGAGATAACGATGCTGAGTGAATGCTCTCCACACATAGTATGTTCATCAAGTACTTTCACTTCAAATGCACTAAATCCCAGCCTCAACCCATTCAGAAGTACCAGCACCTACATAGAAACCTATACACCGAAAGAAATGCTAATTTTAAAGAAAAACGTCAGACGTACTTTAAGAGGCTTTTGCATCTGAACTCTTCATATTTAGACACCTTAGAGAATGTGTTTTGAAATTTCCTTTGTATCTGCTGAAGTGCCTCTAACATCTAGCACAGCTTAACTCAGTGGATGAAGGGAGATTCCTACATGGAATAATCCTGCAAACTTTCAAGTATTATTCAGTAGTACTCGGATGCAAAACTTCTGGGCTACCATTCATGTATGTATAAGTCTGTGTGTGTACCTTGTCCAGGTCTCTTTGTGTGGCCCCCTCTTTGCGCATGCGTTCTTGCTCTAGTGTCTTGTTGATATAGTTCTCTTTGCTCTTCTGTAAGGCCTGTGACACACTCTGGATGTTCTGCACAGCCTCCAGCGTGGACGCCACCTCCTCCTTTGTCTACAAACCAGAGAAACCAGAAAGAGAAATTTATAGAATTTATATAACACTCTATGAACTAACTTCAAGGTTGAGGCTGCCACTCATTCAACCGGTAACTGTTGTACATTCTGGTCTATCTCAAATATATTTAAAAATCATGGTTGTATTATTAGTACAGCCTTTAATTTATGCTGCCAGGTGAAAAGTGTCATTAAAGTACGGTCACTAAGCTAAAGCAGGCTTAATTTTCTTCATTTTATACATTTAAAAAAAAAATTTAATGCCCATATATACGACCCATAACCAGTCAAATGTTTTTGAAACCAGTCTCTTCTGCTCACCAAAGCTGCAGTAATAGTAATATTGAGAAATATTATTTCAATTTAAAATAGCTGTTTTCTACATAAATATATTTTCAAATGTAATTTAATTGCTTTGATCAAAGCAGAATTTTCAGCATCATTACTCCAGTCCTCAGTGACACATGATCCTTCAGAAATTATTCTAATATGCTGATTTGCTGCTCTGTTATGATCAATAATTATTGGTGCTTAATCATTAATAATGGTTCTTATTATTATCAACATTTAATTTTTTTTCTGTCATATTTTTGTGAAAACCATGATACATTTTATTTTTCAGGATTCTTAGAAAGCTCAAAATAGCATCATTTATGTGAAATCTTTTGTAACATTATGTCTTTGTCACTTTTTATCAATTTAATTTGTCCTTGCAGAAGACTGGAATAATGATGCTGAAAATTCAGCTTTGAATCACAGGAATAAATTATATTTTAAAATATATTAAAAAGTTATTTTACATTGAAATAATATTTCACAGTATTAGTGTTTTTATTGCATTTTTGATAAAAAATCTTAATGATCCCATGAAATGTAAATTAAATTTACCATTCAATTTCACAATGATGATAAACTTGGATATTTGAGAAAGTCTACATCATTTAAATAAACTGAAATGGATCAGCAGACAGCTTAAAATGTCAAATTACATTTGCAGATATTTCAAAATTGATTTAACAAAGTACCAACAGATGCTGAATGAAATATGAAGTATGAAACACACTGAAGAAATCAGGTCATGACTGGAAAAGAGCCATTAGGTTTCTGTTTGTGCAAATTGTACACATATTTAATATGTGCAAATATGCATAAGTTTACAGAGCAAAACAAAAAACGTGAGAAGAAAAAATACTGAGAAGATAAACCCAGCTGGCATGTCTTGTCACCCCAAGACCCCTCACCACCTGACACACAGAGAAGCACATTCAAATCTGTTTTCTGTTTAATGACAGCACCTGGCTGATGTTCTCTGATGCACTTAAAATGAGCTTCTGCTGTAACTGCAAGATATCAAACACTGTTTCTCTGAACATGCATAAAAACATGTTCACTCAAGAGACTTGACTTTTTTTCTTTTTCATCCCTGCTTCTGTAGCTGTGCAGAAAAACAAACAAGCCTGGGATCTTATTAGAATTAATTATTTAATTACTAATATAAATCATATTGATTATTAATATAAATCAAAATGACCTTAAAGAAATATATATTTCTCTCCATTCATGTGGTTGAATAATTAAATAAGCAATAGTAATTAATAAATAAATAATAATAATATTACCTAGAGATTACTACTACCACCATTAATAATTTTTGTTTCGTTTTCTCAAAAAACAAAACAAAAAACTCAAGATAACCTTCTTTTGACAACAAATTGACAAAATAACAAATGTCAAATTAGTACCATTACTATTATTATTCTTACTACAAGATTCATTTTTAGAAGTTTTAATGGGAGGATGAGGACCATATCCATGAACAGTTAATAGTGGGACATTCTGTAGTACAGTAGACCATTATTATTAATATGCAATTATATCTCCATTTCATATGATACTCCTCACTCTGTTTTTGAAAGATGGAAATGGGTTTTATCTTACAGTGATTACATACCAGACCTCTGACCTTTTTTAAGGAACGACATGTGTACCGCAGACTCATTTAGCTGAGAAATTGGGTTCATACTTCGCTATGCGGCATGTTATGAGCAAACTTACATGGATATAAATCAAACACCAAAGATGACGGCAGCTCCCATACCTTCTTATGATTTTTGGCTTGTTCCTCCACATATTTCTGGACTTCCTTGATGAGCTCTTGAAGTTTGCGGACCAGCTCCATGTGACATGCTGCCAGTTTTTCGGTGGACTGTTTAAACACATCCCACACCGGCGCAAACGTCCTGTGGAACAAATGGCCATTTCATTTTCTTCTCTAGGCATAATACTCCACACACATTGTACAAATAAAACGGAAAATGTGTTAAACATGATTTGTGATTTAACACCAAGGTGTGTTTATTCTCTCGATATCAGATTTATCCTCTGGTCCTGCTGTTTTTAATGGAACGGCTCTGTGCAAGGTTTAATGACACTATAATGTCTGTACTGACAATATGATATGTGAGGGGGGTGCGAAATTCGTGTTCTGCGGAATAAAGCACCGCAGGCCAGTAAAATACCAGCTTTCATCTTACACAACTGCATCTAGCATATTTTGCAAATAGTTATTGTACAAACCTTGGCTATTTCAGGACCATAATTGCAATAACAATGAGTTAATTGCTTTCTTCCTGCAGATCTTTTTGAAGTAGCTTATGAAGTTTCGCCTGACTGGCAATATGTCTCACAATAGCAGGGAAAGTACAGCAAGCTTGCCAGAATAAAGTTTACATAGAATAAAGATTCAAAAATGTTCCAGGCAGGTAAGTGAACAGCTGTGGGTATTCATTTTGTTTCCTAGCATGTAATGAGCTTGGGCTTTCATGGATAAAGCCTGAGAGACGTTGAAATGATGTGGGTTTTCCAGCTCATTATAAATACATTACTGAAATGAAGTTCATAATGAACCCACTGGGCTTGTGAACCCTTAGACTCGCGCGTGCACATGCACACGGATGAATAAAACAAAAGTAGGTCTGTACACTTAAATCAAAACGCGATATATATACTATATACGATATATATACTAGTGTCTGTGAATATTTAGCTGCAAAATACTATTTAAATATGAATCCTGCATGTTCTGCGTGCCTCTGTGTGAATGAATGGCACAGACGCATGAATATAATCGCTAGAACTGCTTTGAGAGTCATTTCATGAGCATTTTACCGTTTATAATTATAGTTATATCATATACGCATAGAAACACAAAGGTCTTCACAGCAACCCGTCAAAATAAAAGTTCGGTTTAACTTGAAGAAACTGTGTCAGAAATATATTACTTAATGTAATGACAATACTTCTACTACTAATAAAACTATTAAAAATCTAATTATTTACCAGAATTTATTTAGAAGAAAATAAAATAATAAAAAAATAAAAACACATTTTTTTTATAAAATCAATTAATTAGAGATGCTTTTAAATATTACAATTTAATGAAACCATTAAAATGGAATGCAGAAAATTAATGGAAAACAGAATTTGGTAATAATAAAACTGAATTAGAGAAAGGCCTTAAATAGGGCCATAAGGCCTTTAAAAATATATATATATTTAAACTTTTAATAAATTGCAGTTAAATTGTGTATGTTTCATGATTTAAATTAATTAGACCTGTTTTTTGATTAGTAACATTTCATTTAACCATTAAAACAGAGTATAGAAAAATTTAAATGGAAAAAACATAATTTGGGAAAAAATAAAACAGATTTCATAGGGCCCGACATACAGTCTTACCCTAGCTGAGAGCAGTTGCTGGCGGTCTTGGCCAGTTTGGTCATTGATCTTGAATAAGCCTCCTCTATGGTGGCTCTGTGACAAAAGGTGAGAAAACCATATGTGAATAATCAATCAAACCCAAATAATGACATGCCATCTAATGCTGATTATTGTTTAGAATAAAAAATCCTTTATACAACATTTTGATTTTACTTTCACAAACATTTACACATACTTGCAAACAACAGTAACAACCATTTAAAAAAAATGGGGGAAAAAAATTATTTAAAAGAATGATTTAAAAGAAAAGTGGTGTTACTCCATGCAAGTTGCGCAAATGACACTGATACATCTACATATAAGGCAAACAAAGACCTTTGTTTGAAATTAGTTTAGTAATTGTGCCTTCACATGAATTTGACAAAACTAAAAAGATTTTTACATTTTTAGAACAAGCAGAAGGAAAAGCAGTGCGAGCTCAGCAAACATGTGAACCCATTTAGTACAGTTTAAAAAGTCTGAGTAAGTCTGAGTTAAAAGTTTGAGATATCTGAGAGAAGCCCATGGTGTTTTGGTCACTATGTAATCCCCAATGTCACTTGTGCCATTTCATAGTTCGGTTGATTTAATTATTATTCTAAAATGTGAAAAAGAGTAAAAACAAAAAGGGTGTCCAAAAATTTGATCGGTAGTGTATCCCTACAGTCACTTGCCCAGAGTCATTTGAAAATCTATTGCTATGGTCTTCTTTTTCTGTCAAAAGAGAAAGATCTATAATAGTAAATTAGCCTGAGCGCCGTTTCACCCTGATAGAGACAATGTCACACTGTGTCCAAAAGGGGGAGACAGACACGCTCCATTTGTGGCCAAACCACTCATCATCCTCTGAAAAAGATTTCACAATACAATTGCCAAAAGAACATAAATCAAGACTAAGAACTTGTTAAAATGACACAAATAGCATTTCCAATGGCTTGGTATTATGCAAAATTCCTCTGTCAGTCACAGAGCTCATGAGATGGTTTAAAACATCTGCACATTTTAAATCTTTCAGAGTGAATTCTTTCCATTCATTTAACACAGCATTGATTGACCGTTAAAGCAGGTGAAATGTGTGACGGATGGTGAGGCTTATGGAGGAATTGCAACATTCCTGAAAACATTTGGAAGGTTTTAAGAGAAAAGTTTTAAAATAGTTTCCTCTGGAATAGCTGTACTCCCTCGACAGATGTCTTGATGGTCTGAGACAAGCAAGATTTCTAGCAGAGCTTCAACGCTTGCACGGGTGAATGATCTGACAGAACTGTGCATGTTTTTGTATTACAAGAAGATCTCAAAAAGTGTTACTGACATTTTGCAGGTGATGAGATTAGATCAGGTTTGATGTGGTTTCTGCTGTTTAGTCTACAAAAAGATTTTCTTGTAAAGATTCAGAACTAGTGGCCAACAGATTTCATAATACTTCACTTATATACGCTTTTCTTGTATTAACACTGAATTATTTTATATTTTCAGCTTTTAAAGTTTTTTAATTTTAGTCATTTTGTTATGCGGTTTGTAATTTTTATAAGGTTTTTAGTAACAGTTTTAGTAGTACTTCAGCTTAAACTTATTTTATTACGGTTAGCCAGATTGTTTAATTATTTTTAAGTTGTCCAAGTAATATTTATATTTTATCTATAGCTTTATTTCAATAAATAATAACGATTTAAGTTTCAGTTAACACAAACAACACTGCTAACATACAATTTTTAGGAAGGATGACTGTCTGCGTTATGACAGGCTGTCATGAATACAGTGTAACACTCTGAGGTAACTCCCGTCATCCCCTTAAAAACAACAAGAACAACAACTAAACACACACACACACACACACACACACACAGACACAGACACAGACACACGTACGCACGTACACAGACACAGACACAGACACATACACAGACACAGACACAGACACGCACACGCACACGCACACGCATGCACACACACACACACACACACACACACACACACACACACACACACACACAGTTTTACCTTTCTCTGATGAAGTCTGATAGCTCCTTGCTGGATATCTGGCCATGTTTCATGTTGTGGTACAGTACATCAAATCCATTGTTTTTATCGCCCTGCCAAAGAAAGCACACAAATGAATTAAAAACTACATTTGAGCCACATCACTACATGTTTTCCCTAAAAAAGGGAAACAGCAAGAATTTAAGAATTGCATGTCAAGGATTGAACTGCACGTCATCACTAGTGCAAACATTTGTTTACCACTTTTGGTTTCTCAACAATCATTGCTGTCATGGCCTGAATGGCATCTAGCTGACTCCTTAAAGCAGACTGGTCCACCATGTTCAACCGCGACATACTTTCGTATCTTTGCCCGTAAGTCAGTGCTGTAAGCTTGGTCTGAATTGTGTAAAGGGTTTCATAGTAACCATGGTTGCAATGCTACAAGTGTCCGATATCAGCATTTTAAAAATGCAAGCACTAAACTAATGCATAATTCAGATCTGAAAAGAAGCCTGACATCTCCTCTAATTTTAGAATGACAGAAACACACATATTTTAATGCCAGCCATGCATATAGACTGCTTTATGTACATGCATTAGAAGAGAGAGTGCTTACATAAATGCAATACAAACACACATGTACTATGGTGTGCCAAGGGTGTTGGTCATTTCATATTAATATGAATAATAATAATAATAATAAGGCTGTGTTTGCTCAGCACATCTGCTCTTACTGACTATAAATACAGCTGTTATCCATGCCAGCATGGTACAACAGATATAATCAATCATATGCTCTCCAAGGCTTTTTACCCAAGCAAATAATTTACAGTTAATACATCAGATTAATGAACCAAACCAAAACAAGCTCAATTGCAAGCAATTTTATTAGCATTTCTCAAAAGCCAACTGTGAAAATACAGAAATCTGGCACACAACAAGAGTTCAACCAGTGATTCAAAGAGAAGCACAAGAAGAAGAAGAAAAAAAACATCTATCCATAATCATTGTAGAATGTATACAAAAATATTCATGTTTAAAAAAAATCGAATTTTACTCAATCGAAACTTGTAAAAGGTAGTAAAACTTGTAAAAGGTATTTCAGAGAAAAGCATGTTAAATTTATATGATCACTACCTATGCAAAAATACATGAACATAAACCAATATAAGGAAGGATGAAGCTCTGCTCTCATGTTTATACTGTGTAACTTCCACATCAGCTTTTGTGGACACAGCAAATATCACGCAGTGTGTTTCCTGTAGCTCAAAAGACAACTGAGATCTGTGTGAGATTGTAAGACTGTGTGTGTGTATGTGTGTTGAAAGAACAGCCACAGGAAAGCCAAGCGCTACAGAAGTGACCGAGGAATGCAGTGATATTAAAAAACACAATAGGAAAACAACAACAACTTTGGCCGTCTGCTCATTGAATACTAGCACACCAAAATATCAGTTTGTTCCATGATTGGTTCACGCAGCCCACATGACTTTTTTTGAGCCTAAACTTTAAACACAATGCAGTAATAAACTCTCAACTGCATTTTAATTTCACTTTATTTTGTTCCCTTACAGCCTTTTCGATCTTTTACACTTAACTCATTTTAAATCATGAGTAAAGTCTAGTTTCACCATTAGGTTAAGCAACGTTTCACACTTGTAATGTGAAATGTAAACAGCGTAAAAAACAATGACGTGCCAGGATGCTACAGCGAGATGTTTAGCAATAGACAACCAATCATAAACTGTTTCAAAGTCACAGAAAATGTCATATTCTAGTACAAACAATGATCACATTTACTCTCTGAAAAACAAATAGCCCATAATGACATCGCCAAAACTATGTCAAATATCTGTGACCTGTTATAAATCCATGACGTTAGCAAAAGAGAAGTTCAGAGAAGTACGATAAACCAGACAAACAGCAGTTGAGGAACAAAACATGCAGTTTGAAGTTGCTAATTTGAGCGCAGGAAAATGTTCACTGACTGATGTTGTGTGTTATGCCTTCCTGTATGCTTGTGTTTCTGTGAGGAGGTTTAAACCACAATTTGGCTCAGGTCAAACCAAACAGAATTCATATTTAAAGCCAAAACACACAAGACAAGACATGAAGGTACAAATGTGTGTGTTTAAGTTGAATGTGCTTGTTCATGCAGCAGGGCTCACAAACTGGGTGAGGTTCCCAATACAGAGACTATATGCAAAGACCCTGAATGCAAACACACACACACACACACACACACACACACACACACAGTTTACTTAGCTATCCAAATGAGGACATTCCATTGACTTCTGTTTTTATATACAGCTAGTTATGAATACAATAACATAACCCACACCCTAAACCTAACCCTAACAGAAAACTTTCTGCATTTTCAGAAGTTTAAAAAGAGTTTTGTTTCTTTTCATTTCTTTTCTTAAACACAATATTTATAAATGAGGACGCCTCCAAAATAGGTTTTGTCAGATTTAGCTCACTTCTGGGTACAGATTTGACCCCAAAAATATGGTAAAGTAGGTACACGTACACACACACACTTCTGCTTTCCTGGAAGCTCAAATCAAGAATGCCTACTTGGAAATGTTATTACATTTTAAAAATAATCCACCTTCATAAATCTACTCTCGCATGGTCTTCTGCTTATTCCTCTACTTCAGTCTAGCAGCACATTCACCTGGAGAAATTCATAACAAATCCTCCGAATCTGCTATCTGGGACCCTATTTTTGTATTTCCATATAAATCCATCATGCCAACTAAAATATTCCTTTGGTAGCAGTCCCATCAGGCCACTGCAAAACTTAAATTTATATCTTGTTCATGTTGTGGTTAAAGATTTTTCCTTCTTGATTATGCATTATATTAATTTTCTCTGATATTACACATTGTAAAGTTTGTGTGATACTGCAGAGACAACAAAGATGTATTATTTTACTAGCAAAATATGTTGTTGTTTAAAAAATTATATATATATATATATATATATATATTTTTTTTTTAGAAATACAGTGGTACTTAAAAAATGCATATGCATATGCAAATGCAGAAAACAAACAATCAAACCAAAAATACGTAATTCTTTATATCATTTGCACAAATTTAGGCACCATCTCAGAGTTCTGCAATCTATCATGCTTTACCCTTACAATACACTCTGTCCCCTAAATACTAGCTTTAAATGTATTTGCTTTTGCAAGTGAGATAACAACACACAGTCTGGGAAAGTTAATTGCCTGGTTTAATGCATGGTTTAGTCCACAGCCATCTGCTGAACCTAACCCATGAAGGTTTAATAAACATTACAAAGCATGCTAAATTTGGCATAGCTGACACAGTCTGGCTTTTCATTTGAATCAGTTCAACAGAGCACAGAGATCTGAATTGTGATTACATTAGTATGCATTACATGCATCTTGAGATGAAGACTAGGAAAAAAAACAACTTCACTCACAGTGCCAAATAAAATCATCTTCCTAACAGAGAGACAGTTTTTTTAAAGGCTCAAATAATTTGTTATTATTTAAGTATTTAATACTATAATAGATTATATAATATGACTTATCTTATATTAAAAATTATCATATCTAACATTATCGAATATAATAAAGATCTTCTTTCACAAATACTTTGGAGCAAAGTAACAATATAAGAATTATCAGTCTCAGATAATAGCAATTTTGCAAAGCATAAATCCAATGCACAGTTGCTGCACCTGTTAAAAATTACCTTGTACATGGACGATTACTCAATAATAAACAAATAAACAATAGATAAACAAATCAGTAAACAGCTGTTCATAACCTAAATGAAGACAAAGCAAACATAACTTCAGTGAATTCATTTACAATCACTTACAGTACCTCCGTTACTGAAAACACTGCCATTCTGAGAGCAAACATGTCAACAATGAGCAGAGCAAAACATCTAGACATCAACAGTGTCAAAGTTCAGCTGAATCCCTTTCACCCCAGCTCTGAGTCCCTCACATGACCTTCTGAACTCCCCCCGTTTAAGCAGGGTGATCTGCCTCCATGCTCGGGACATCTGTCCTACAGACACACAGCATTGTGGATCAATAGAAATGCACCGCATTCAAATGCACTGAAAGACAAAGACGTCCAGTGACACAATATTTGTTAAAAAGGGAGTATATTAAAATGTTTTTTTTTAACCATTCAATGTCCTGTCCTGCAAGACAGAACAAATAAGAAGCTTTAGCACTCTACAGTTAAATGGTTGATTCACCCAAAAACAGCAATGCAACTACCACCCAGAAAGGTAGTAAGGACATCGTTAAAATAGTCCACGTGACATCAGTGATTCAACCTTTATTTACCAGTGATTAATTTTATGAAGCTACAAGAATACTTTCTGTGCGCAAAGAAAATAAAAATAACGACTTCAATCAACAATTTCTTCTCTATTGTGTCAGTCTTCGCAAGCAGAGAAATGCACACGCATGCGTCATGGTAAATTCGTGAACGTGCGTCGAAGACTGACATGGAAGAGAAGAAATTGATTTAAGTCATTATTTCTGTTTTCTTTGCACACAAAAAGTATTCTTGTAGCTTCATAAAATTACAGTTGAACCACTAAGGTCACATGATGGACTATTTTAATGATGTCCTTACTGCGTTTCTGGGCCTTGAATGTGTCAGTTCCGTTGCTGTCTATGCAGGGTCAGAAAGCTCTCGGATTTCATCAAAAATATCTTAATTTGTGTTCCGAAGATGAACGAAGGACTTATGGGTTTGGAACGACATGAGGGTGAGTAATTAATGACAGAATTTTCATTTTTGGGTGAACTGTCCCTGTAAACTGAAATGCATGAAATGGAAATTCACCCAGTCTGTTTTCTAAATACATTATTTTTTTTAACTTTTTTTTTTATTTAACCTTGTAATGTTTAATCAAATCCTAGTCTTCTGTGAAAACGACAGACTTCTCTCTGGTGACGTATGCCAGATTTATCCAATCATTAGTCTGCTTACACCAATTCTTCCACAATTGACTGCATCCATTTGAGCACAATGCATAGAATCAAATCAAGTTTTTTTGTTGTTTTTGATAATCTGTTACAAGCAAGCATGTAATTGCATACCATGAATACTGTTGACTGTATGACAAATTGCTTAAGGCGCTCCTCATTTGTAAGTGGCTTTGGATAAAAGTGTCTGCTAAATGAATAAATGTAAATGTAGTCGGAAAATGACATGCATGTGAATATGATCAATAACAGTTTTGACATTTTACACAAATGATTAACATAACCACACATTTAAAAACATAAAGAGCTCTCATCAAGAAAACTAAAATGGAACATCTGCAGTATGACTCAACCAGATATTAATTTCCGTAAGCAGGTGTCTTCTGACTGTAATAAGTCTGAACATCCACCAACAGAGGAGAATGTGAAATATCAGCAAAGGTCAAAAGCTCTCTAGAATATTCACATGGTGCTACAGCAAGAGAGGAAACCTGTGGTTAGATGTGTTTGACTGCAGGAAACGAGACTAAGAGGTTTCCTTCAAACACCCCTTTGTTGTGGGAGGTTTAGGGTAAGCTGTCACACCTGCGGGCGTCAGGCACTGGAGGGCAGAGAAGATTGATTTCAAGAGATGATCATGTCATGGCAGATAAATATCAAGACTACTTTGACGGTCTGACCTTCCCTGCATTACTTTCTTGAGCTTGACAGCTTCCTTGAAGAAGTGTGGCTCTCTGTGTGAGGGGTATATGTGTGTATGTCTGTCTGTGCCCTGCATTACAAGCACACAGCTGATCATAGGCGTCCCTGTTTCACTGAGCCCTCAACACAAAGACCTGATTGAGAACAAGACTCCACAGCTCCGCAATCCCTCATCTCTCTCCCCCCATCTCGTTTTGACAGTCACGGCTTCCAACTGCACACTTTCTCACCCGGCTCAGCTCAACATTTCTGCCAGTCAGATGCTGTTTAATGGTTAAACTATGGTCATATACTGCACATGACAACAGAGGAATCTTCCGGGATGCTTTAAGACTTTCAGGCTTTATCTGTTGTCACTAAATGAATTAACACCAATGACTTCAAAAATCCTCAATAACTTTTGTAGTACAATGAGGAAATAGTCATTATTTGAAAAGCGACTTGAATCCTGATGTCTGGAATGTAAGCGATAATAAAGATAGACTGTGCATGAACACACCTGAAAGCATACGCCTTCATTCTACTTAAAGTGATAATGCACTTGAAAATGAAAATTCCATTATCATGTTACTCCCTTTTTGCTGAACACAAAAGAAGATATTTTGAAGAATGCTGGTACCCAAACCATTTTGGTGTCCAATGACTTCCATTGTATGGACATTTATGTGCCAAAGCAGATGAAAAGTCATACAGGTTTGGAATGGCATGAGGATGAGTAAAGTATGACAGAAAGCTCCTTTTTGGCTGACTATACCTTTAACATCACTTTTTGCCTTGTATTAAAATGAAGTCACACAGGTTTGGAACGACATGAGGGTGAATAAGTGATGACAGAATTTTTCAAGTCTCTCTAAGAACCAACTATGTCTAGTAAGGAGGTATGTTTTGAGGTACAACTGAGAATAAAACGACAAACAGGCATATGAAATCACACTGTGAACAGCTTAAGCACTCAAAGCCTATAGTAAAGTCATGACAGTACAAACCATAACCAAAGTAATTCAAATGAAAAAGATCACCATACTATGGAAGAGAAGGGGGTAATTATTACATGGCTCACATATGAATAATCATACAATCATATAACGTAAACAACTTTATTAGACATTCTGGCCTCCGGTCTAACTTCATTACGGAAGAACTAGAGCAGGATAGCATTGTGATTGACAGCCGTAACATCCAATGTTGTTGCAGAATAGGATCGTTAATGTTCCAAGACTTTGATCGACAGCCAATCAGATTGAACGGAGGTGGAACGTAGTTGGCTGTCTGTGTCAGATGGATGTAATGAGGCCCAATCCCCGGTCTAGCTGGACGGCATTCTCCGAGAAAAGTGAGGGGGGCAACAGGCCAGTAGGCTCTCGTGCTTGCCTCGACCATGTTTTACCGGTATTATCCCAGCAACGGCCGGCGTGAATCAAAACATGAAGAATAGCCCCAAAAATCGAGCGTATCGTACCAATTTAAAGAATGACAGACGAGTAGAGTTGTCTTTAATCTGCATAGCCAAAAAAGAGCAAAGCATAAACAACCTACCCAGAAATTTTCCAGGAAATAGGGCGTTATCATCTTGCTGTCCTCCCTTCTTCACAGCGGCGTTTCTCTTAATTTGAATTGCTTCAGCTGGCAGTTAATCCACCGTCCTCCCCCCGATGTTGTTGTGTCTGATGGTTTTTCTCTTTTTTTCCTGCTCTTCTGCTGGCTTTTCCTCCCTCTCTGAACACGACTCCACCTCCTCGCTTGCTTTTCACCCCCTCCACTTGTTCAGTACTTCATGGAGGTAATTATTGTGAAGAAACAGTGACGCTAGTGGCGGTTTCAGGAATTGCCACAATTCCCATGATGCTCGTCTAATATACTTGCCCCACTGTACAACTAAGTTCCTTAATAGCTCAGTTGATAAAAAAAACTCAGTTGATATTATATAAGAGATGTTATTGAAAGACCAAGGTGTAATGAGCTACTGTTCTTGGAAACTAAGTATCATTTAAAAAGATAAATTAATTGTGTAACAGGTAGCCTACATATTTCTCGGTCTTAAAGAAAAAAAAAAAAGGCAAAACTTGCACAAAATGTATTTGAATCAGTCTGCATTTCCAAAGTTGTTGAAATACCTTTATTAATACCTCTGAAATTCATTAGACACAATGTAATCAGTGATTTTTGAAAAGTGTTTATTCTTACCAATGCACAGATCCAAGCAGTGAAACAAACTCACGTCCATAACAATGTCATACAAATATCATTACAAAATTTCTACAGTACAATATATATTCTTTGCATGATCCAAAATATTTGGTGGCCCCTAAAAATGATTACTTTCTGTATTTGAATCTTTCTTCAAAATCAGATTATAAAATAAATGTCGAAAAAAATCACTATAAATTAAATTGCTCTCGGACCAGAAAAGGGAGCTTTTGAGCGAAGTTTGACTTCATTATTACATTTTCTTAATTTCCACACATAGAACTATACAGCAGTTGGTGCAGTCTGGGGTGGGGACACAACATTTAGATTTTTGACATTTTGTACTTCACAAAAAGAAAACAAGACAAAAAAATAAAACCATTAAAAAAGTAAAACCATTAGATTCCTTACTGTGCAATCTCCAAGTCTCGTGGCCTTATTTATACCCCCACCCCCAAAAAACTCACGTTTAACTTCAAGGCGTTACAGTATATACTGCATTTATATTTCATAAATAATGAATGTTCACATACATAAGGGCCAGTTACTTCCATTTTATCCCCACATGAAGTATCCTATTTGAGTGTCTACTATCGGATATCTCCTCTAATTAAAAAAAAAAAAAAGTTTTACATTCTTTTACGAGGAGACATAGTGACAAAAATATGCCTGTTAGAAAGGATATTCACCAGCAGCTGAATGGATTACAGTGAATTGCTCTATTATTATTATTATTATGAAATATGGGAGCCTGAACAGCGGGGAAAGGCATACATAAAAAAAAGAAAATAAATAAAAACGGCAAAGAAAAAACAGTAAACATACCTCCTGAGGTCTCTACAACATAAAATATTCAAGTAGAAAATTACAACACATAGCAGCATTCATAAGTGTAAGACGACACACTTAACATTCATAATATCTGCCTACATCTTGTTTCTTTACATTTTTTTTTCAGTCAGAAGAATCTCCGACCTCTCTTATTGGTTACAAATGTAAAACAGCTGGAATGTGACAGACAAACTGAAGAAACTAAAAACACTTTGCAGAAGAAATACACCAGCACAACAGACTCACAAACACCTGACAGTATCCCGTGGTGTTCAGATTTCTAAATCTTCTTACAGCCTTGAAGGTTTGACCTCTCAGCTGCTTCGGTTTGAATCCATAACTTACACTTGAAAGAACCATTTCACTGGCTTCCAGATGAGTATGAAAATCAGTCTTGTCTGTCTGAGATAGCAACTTTGAAGCGCAAAGTTTTTAATACCTAAATCCTCACACTCTGGGATACATTCAGGCATTTTAAGGCTTGCTACTATTCACATGAGGGACACAAATACTGCCTCCACGAGCACTGAACTGTCAGGAATATACACAACACAACATGGGACGTTCATGCAGGAGGTAACGAAATGAAATAAAACAAGTCACAAAAGCAATACGTGGATGGAAAACACGTCACCTATTGTGTACGTGTGGAAAAAATGCATTATTAAAACTAGTCTGTATGAGGGGTGTTAGAAAAACAGATTGCTCATTGGGCCACCAACATGCACAAAATTAAACAACTAAACATCCAGATTAACCCGATCAGTCAAAAAAGATATCACAAGCATCTTCAAAATCATGCTCTGAGCAAACGAAGCAAAAAGAAATCGCAGAGGTCTCAAAAACGAACAAAATGTGTGTTTAGGGTTCACTCGTTTGGATCCATGTCAAGCACGCTGGAAATCAGAAAGTGAGTCTGAGGAACATTAAAGCCTCGTACGGAGCAATAGTTTAGATGTTTCAGACATCTTCACTGTGTTAATATGGAGTTTTCCCTCTCGCTTTGTGCATGCTAACTTAATTTACCAAGATGAATTTAGAAAAAAAGTTAAAAAAAAAATTATGCAGTCATTCAGGTTTTTATTCCTTCATCTTAGCAGATGAAAACCCTTCACTATCAATGATATGAGAGGACTTACATTTCTAGAGTTACGCTGTGTTACCTTTTAGATGGAGCCCCTAAAATATGGTACGTTTTTAGCATTTACTGTCTTTAAATGTTTACCGTCTACTGCTGTGCATAGCTGGCACACAAAACATGGTCTGCACACTTTCATGCAGTCGAGCTATACCCTACATCACCCCATGCATAGGACTTACGCTTTGCGTCCAAGTTGAGATTTACGTCACCCACCCCTCTAAATGATACGGTCCAGAAAATAAACAAACCCTGTTTTTTAGAAGCTTTCAGAGCTTGTCTCCAGGCACTTTCCTATGTCAGGAGTGCAACACTACAGAGTTTACACACATCTTCGTGTCACTGTTTTTTTTTAACCCCTGGATGTCCCGTTACATTAAGTGCCCTGGTGAATGAACGCTAACGATGTATTTAGTTTTTGCCCTCATGGCTGATTGTTATGGCATGATGAAAAAGCTTTCTTCCCTATTTTGGTTTGGCTTGGTGAGGTGTTGTCGACTAGCGCCTCAGCTAACACTTCCCTCCCACCCCGTCTACAGGGGTCCAGTGGGCCGAATGGCTCCCACCCCTGCTAGACCACCCTTCCCCCCAGGTAAAGGGCAATATATGCCCTGGGTATCAGAGGTTCCCATCCTCTCCCATAGTTAATAAGCTGCAGAACAAGAGAGAAAGAGATCAGATTAGAATGATTTTACATGTACAGTATCATTAGTAAATACACTGCTAAAAAAATTTGGGACCTGAGATACTTTTTTCAGGATTCTTTGATAAATAAAATGAACAGTGTTTATTCAAAATATAACTTTTGTGTTACAATATTCAAATGTTTGGGGTCAGTAATTTTTTTCTTTCTTTTAAAAAAATAAATAAAATACTTTTATTCAGCAAGGATGTGTTAAATGGATAAAAACTGATGGTAAAGACTTATATTGTTAGAAAATATTTATATTTTGAATAAATGCCGTTCTTTTTAACTTTGTATTCATCAAAGAATCAAAGAAAAAAAGTATCACAGGTTCCAAAAAATATTAAGCAGCACAACGGTTTCAACACTGCTAATAAATCAGCATATTAGAATGATTTCTGAAGGATCATATGACACTGAAGACTGGAGTAATGATGCTGAAAATTCAGTGCTGCCTCACAGAAATAAATTATATTTTAAAGTATATTAAAACAGGAAACCAATATTAGAAATTGCAATAATATTTCACAATATTACGTTTTTTTCTGTATTTTTGATCAAATAAATACAGCCAAAAAACGATTAAGAATCTTACTGATCCCAAACTTTTGAACGGCAGTGTAAATATCAGTAACATATTACAATAATGATCACTCATGGTTCATTTATGAATCCAATTTAAACAAAAAAGTGTTACTACTATTACTATTATACCATTATCCAACTATTAGCCAAGTTTGTTCATGAAACCAAATTACTAATGTAAATTAGTAATTACTGGCCACAAACCTCTGAACGATGTTACTGTGCTCACAACACATTTTCTTTTATACAATAAATGTTTAACAACTGTGAAAGCTTGCTAAATTTGAGTAGAGGAAATACACAAATTTTTAGCAAGCATGAATATACACTTCATGGGAAAGAAAACTGTAACAGACTGGCTAGCTTAGAAAATCGCACGGAAATGTACCTCTTCAATCAGGTAACATCTACACCCCATAGAAGGCTGCAAGTCTTTCTTTGAGTGGAAGAGGAAACTGGTCAGAAAAGTGTCTCCAATTCTCGTCTCCAACCTGGTTCTTAAACCCATGCAAGATCTAACAAGGAACACACACTTGAGTATGAAGCATGCATCCATAATCATCTTGAAGGCTTTCCCAACTCACAGACTCGCATAAAATATTTTATACAGCGCTCTACCTTGCAGAACATTTCTCGAAGATCATCTTTTGGGTTCATCCAGGATGCTACAGCATCACAGAAAAATATAAAGTCCTACAAAAATGGTAAAGAAAACAAAGAGGGTCATTTTCAATTGTCGAAGCACTCAGAGAGACATCAGTGAGAATAACGTGTCGTACCTGCACCACACCACCAGGGTTGACCGTGATCATGGTGCAGATTCCTCTGAACGCAGAGTCTTTTTCTTCATTGTCTCTTATATTGCGCAGAGAGGTGCACCTAGTGAAGGGAAGAACCAGTTTTCAAATAACAAGCCTGTGCGGTTAGTTTGCATGTGGATAAACGCATAATCAACACAATATCATGACTACCACCTCAGAGCACCTTGAGACTAGCAAACGTTTTAAATCACAGAGATTGGTCAATGGAGAAACACAAATTTGTCTCTTCTTTTATAAATAAAACATTCTCTTGTTGAAACCGAAAAGTAGTTCAGTTTGTTGTCAGTTTGTTGCTGACAATCCCATACTAATCTGTTTTTTTTTTATTGTTAATATTATTGGTTCTTAATCATATGCAATCTACCTTCTTTAGTAACTATGAATGTTTATAAAGATCTTTAGCTGCTTTTTGGAGTAAATCAACCTACTTACATGAATTCTTTATAAGACAAATACAATGTCTATATAGCACCATGTATTCTGTCATGTACTAGTTTATAGCGTTAATCTAGTGCAAATTTTGGGGCAGGCATTCTGGGATAG